AGCCCCTGGAAGATCTCAGATACCTATTCAAAAGTACAAATGAGTGCCTTCTAATAAACAATCCCAAAATCTGGTCTCTGGGGATAAGATTTCTTAAGACAGTTCTAAAGAGCCAACACAGCTTGGCTGAGATAATACTCCAAAACAGACAGGAGATAGACCTTCTCATCCCTGAACAAGGAGGGACTCGCGCCATCCTGGTGATGTAAATTTAAAATTGGCTAATGCCCCAACTAGTCCTTGTTATGCCATACTGATGCTGCTAATGATTGTTCCATGTGCTGTCAATTGTCTAACCTGTCTTGTCTCCGCCCAGGTCAAGCTACGACATGCAGCGCCAGTTCAACAAAGATATAAAACTACAGCCAACCACGGAAAATATCAGTCACCCTTAGATGGACACCGCTATAAGGACTCTGAGCCCTGAGACTAGCAAGAGGGGGCGGCCCAATGCCCCTCGCCATCCGAGTTCAGCAGGAAGTAGCCAGACAGACCTCGACACCCCTATTCCCAAAGAATTGGGCCTCCCATCTCTTGAGGGCAGAATGTTAGGTAGTTAGAATAGGGAAAGGAGTCCAAAATGGCAGTGGCTAAAAGACCTGGAAGGGAAAGCCCTCGAAAATAGAACAAAGGAAGGTCCAAGGACCTGAGTCTCCCCACCCCCCCACCCCCCCCCCCCCGCCGAGGGGCTTTAATGTCCGTCACTCCAAATCTTTGTTGTGACGAGACAAAGAACCAAGGAGCATACACTTGAGTGACACTTGTATCGTTCAGTCACTAAGTATTCCAACTCTTTGCAACCCCATGAACTGTAACATACCAGGTTTCCCTGTCCTTCACCACCTCCCAGAATTTGATCAAACTCAGGTCCACGGAGTCAGTGATGCACCCTAGTATGGTGCCATGCTAATCTCTGTGTCATTCCATTTTCATGTTCTGCCCAAGCCAGCACTGGTTGACTAATTCCCTCACTGCTTCCTAAGGCCCTTAATAGCTCTCCATCCTCTATATAACAAAGGGCATGATCTTTTTAAAAAATTTTTTGGCTGCACTCCAGGGCATGCAGGATCATAGTTGCCAAACAGGGACCCAACCTGCACCCTCTGCTGTGGAAGGCAGGAGTCTTAACGACAGGATCTTTTTTACAGAGCACAGAATTTTCCCCAGGGTCTGACCTTTGCTTACCTAACAATGCCCAGTTGCTCTACCTTTCCTAGACTGTGAACAAGTTCTCTCACCTCCTCTGAGTCTGCTATTCTTTTGTAAAAACAGCCGTTCCAATCTCTCAAAAAGTTGACCTTAAAAAAAAAGTTAACCTGAGGTTTAAAATAAATACACTTAAACAACACACCATCAAGGGTTTACGGTACCCATGACTCCTTAATACTGATACTGATTATCTGTATCTATCTGATACTGATACTTTATCTGTATCTATCCAGTGTCCCTTTTCAATTCAGTAATATTTACCAAATACTTACCATATGCTAGGCACTTTGCAGGACACAAGACAGAGAGAATACAGGAAAACAGAATAAATTTTTGCTGTCCCCAAGCTTATTACAATATAGTCTCTCAACCAGTACCTTTCAGTTCAGTTCAGTTCAGTTCAGTCGCTCAGTCATGTCCGACTCTTTGCAACCCCATGAATTGCAGCACGCCAGGCCTCCCTGTCCATCACCAACTCCGGGAGTTTACTCAAACTCATGTCCTTCGAGTTGGTGATACCATCCAGCCATCTCATCCTCTGTCGTCCCCTTCTCCTCCTGCCCCCAATCCCTCCCAGCATCAGGGTCTTCTCCAATGAGTCAACTCTTCGCACGAGGTGGCCAAAGTATTGGAGTTTCAGCTTCAGCATCAGTCCTTCCAATGAACACCCAGGACTGATCTCCTTTAGGATTGACTGGTTGGATCTCCTTGTGGTCCAAGGGACTCTCAAGAGTCTTCTCCAACACCACAGTTCAAAAGCATCAATTTTTCGGCGCTCAGCTTTCTTCACAGTCCAACTCTCACACCCATACATGACCACTGGAAAAACCATAGCCTTGACTAGACGGACCTTTGTTGGCAAAGTAATGTCTCTGCCTTTTAATATGCTACCTAGGTTGGTCATAACTTTCCTTCCAAGGAGTAAGCGTCTTTTAATTTCGTGGCTGCAGTCACCATCTGCAGTGATTTTGGAGCCCCCAAAAATAAAGTCTGACACTGTTTCCACCGTTTCCCCATCTATTTGCCATGAAGTGATGGGACCAGATGCCATGATCTTAGTTTTCTGAACGTTGAGCTTTAAGCCAACTTTTTCACTCTCCTCTTTCACTTTCATCAAGTACCTTTAAGGACTAGATAATCTCTAACATAAGAGCAAATGAGGTAAACTGGCAGGGGGTGGGGTAAATTCCCTGAAGTTGGGAACAGTATGCGCCTCAGGGCGCCGCCACATCGTGGCACCTCTGCTTTCTCCAGCCGCAGTGGCACTTCCCAAGCCAACCCCAGGGCCCAACACCTAAGCCCTGGCTGGGCCTCACTCAGAGCACCCGGGCCACCACTCACGTGGCAGGCAAGGGGCGGGGACGCGTGGCCCAGCGGCGGAGGTAGGGCGGGGCCTGGGCCTCTGCGCCTGCGCGCTGAGGCCAGCTTGAGGACCCGGATTTAAAGAGACAGGTACTACAACCGTCGTGGCTGCGCGCGGCCTGTGGGCGCCTGGTCCGAGGCCTGAGGTGGCGCCGGAGCCGGGAAGGCAGGTGAGGGGGCGGCGCGGCGGGGCCTGCTTGCGGGAAAGGGGGGCGGCCGGAGTGCGGGGCTCGGCGCGGCCCGGGAGCCAGCCTCCGGTCTCCTCCCCCGCCCGCCGGCTCGGAGAGCCCCGGGGCACACCCTCCGTGACGTGGCGGCCCCCCGGGAGTCCGCGGGGGTTGGCTCCCGGGACCCCCACGGCCCCACGCCGGGGAGGCAGGGCACCCCCGCGGGGCTCCTCTGGCCGGGTCCGCCCAGCCGCCGCCCGAGTCGGGGCGCTGCGGACGGAGCTCGGGAGCCTCTCTCTTCCAGCCGCGTCCCCTTCAGCCTAGCCCGGGGCTGTGCTCTGGCCGCACCTCCGGCTCGCGTCGAGGGCCTCGCTGCGTCTCGCCCTCCCCCCGAAAGGGGAGGCCCCTCTGGGCGGCCCGGCTGCGTTCAGGCCTCAGCGGTTTCCCTTCTCGGGTCCCTCTGAGGAAATGCTGAGTGGCGGCTTGGGGGGCCTGTGAGCCAGGCGGGGTTCCCCAAACGGCTCCGTGCCTCCTGGTGGCCCAGCGCCTCCCGCACGCTGCGGAGGGGAGGGCGCGGCTAGGTGCCCTCCCCCCGGGCTCCTGGAGTCCTGGGGGCGGCTTTTCGCAAATCGCTTTCCAGGAAGGTGGTGAACCCTAATTTTTTTTTTTTTCTTGAGCGCCTCTTACGGGCCTGCTTACTTTCACATACTCTGTGGTTCAGCTTCTAGGGGTTTACAGAGCCTTTTGTGAAGTTTCATGAAAACGTTGACCGTTTCTCCCCCAAAACGGAAAAGGCCGAATGCGCACCTTTTGTGTACATTTGCAAGGGAATTCAGAGCCCTACCCCGCCCACCCCCCCACTCCCATTCACCCATCCACGCACCCATTGTCATTTTCTCCCTTCTCTTGAGGTAGATATTTTGCCTGTTTTAGGAATAAGGAAGCGGACTCGGGAAGTTAAGGGAAATTCTCAAAAGATAACATAGTACCAGAACTGCGCGGTCACACTTGTGCTCGCGTTTCTGATTCCCAGTTACCTGCTGTTCTCTGCATCACGTTTCACTTAAGCAAGTAAAGCTTGCTTTTCATTATCACCCACAAGCAATTTGATGACAAAGCCGGGTGCAGGCTGAAAATAACTTCCAGTCTGTTGAAAGTTGGAACTGGGAGGATACTTTAGAAAATAAGGTTAAAAGAAAGTGGGGGATACTGTGTGAATATGGTCCTTGTTTCCATGTGGATTGATTGAGCATTTCCTTTGATTCTTGCTATCCAGTTACTTCAGCATTTCCAGATTGAATTTGCTGAGTTGTAACCCGGCTTATTGCACACAGGGAGCCTTTGCTTAAAGGATAATCGCTTCATTGACTATATAAGGGCTTTATTCTTAGAATGACAACTCTGAGTTAGGTACTATTATTATCCACATTTTACAGTTGAGGAAATTGAGGAACTGAGAGATTAAGGAAATGACCAAGGTCTTATGGCCAGTGAGCTAGGATTTGAAACCAGGGGTTAGATTTTAGGCTCCATTTAATTGCTTCTCAAAATAGGGCTTCTGATTAAATCCCACATCTATATAGTGGCTTAATTATTTTCTGAGGATAACAAATATTTTGTATTTCACATTAAAGACTTCCTGAAAATAATGTCTTTTTTTTTTTAAGTTGCACCACTTGTCTTTCAAGATCTCAGGTCCTCCTCCAGGGTTTGAACCCTGGCCATGGCAGTGAAAGCACTGAATCCTAACCACTAGGCTACCAGGGAACGCCCAGTGTAATTTTTCTTGATGATTAAAAAGAAACTTTAGAATCTTACTATGCTAAAGGGTCACCATCCATTTTAAGGCTTAGGGTTTGCTGGTGGCTTGAGAAAGGGTTTTATGTTACTTGAATTCTCTTGATTGTGATTTACTAGATATACTTTAGATAATATTTAAGTGTTCAATTAGGTAATTGAATGTCCTGTTATAGACTGAATTTTCCTGTACAGGAATTCTTCATCCTGTAGGCAATAAATCTTTCATACCTGGCCTTCCCCGGTGGTCCTGTGGTTAAGACTCCAGGCTTCCACTGCAGGAGGTGCAAGTACAATTTCTGGTCAGGAATCGGACAGCAGCCAAAAAAAAAAATCCTTCATACTTTGGGAAATGTTTGGTTGGTCAGCATGGATTATTGTGTTAGAATGTCAGCCTTTGAGGAAAATAGAGGCCTAGCTCCTCTGTAACTCACTTTTCTGCCTCTCCCCCTTCCATGCAGCTGTATGACTTTGGCTTTTAAGATCCTTTTCCCACCAACCCTCCGTGCACTCAGGAAAAAAGAATTGTTCCTATTCCGAGAACATCACCGGCCTGACATAAGACACTTTGGCCAGTGGTCAGAGACAGTTCTTTGTGGACACCACCTCCTCCAGAGAAGAAAGCCTGTTCCGTCCTTCCAGAAAAGCAACCTAAGACCACGTGCCACCTGCCTTGTTTTCTTGCCAGGATCGCATGTGGGATGCTGCAGTGGCCCCTGTGAGATGGCAGAGCAACGCTTCTGTGTGGACTATGCCAAGCGTGGCACCGCTGGCTGCAAAAAATGCAAGGAAAAGATTGTCAAGGGCGTATGCCGAATCGGCAAAGTGGTGCCCAATCCCTTTTCAGAGTCGGGGGGCGATATGAAAGAGTGGTACCACATTAAATGCATGTTTGAGAAACTGGAGCGGGCCCGGGCCACCACAAAAAAAATTGAGGACCTCACCGAGCTGGAAGGCTGGGAAGAGCTGGAAGAGAACGAGAAAGAGCAGATAAGTCAGCACATTGCAGGTGGGGTGGAGAATACTGCTTTCTCATCTTACTGGCTCTGAGAGGCAACGAGATGAGAGCAGAGCCCAATTTCTTTCTTCCTATCTGTCTTTTTTAAGTTTATTGTTCAGAAATAACTTCAAACTCACAGGAATGTTGCAAGAGTAAAAATAACACATAGTACAAAGAATGCTTATGTTCATCTTTTTTTTTTTGCTGCACTGTGAGGCTTGTGGGATTTTAGTTCCATGACCAGGGATTGAACCCAGGTCCTCAGCAGTGAGAGTGCAGAGTCCTAACCCCTGGACCTCCAGGGAATTCTCTCAGATTTACCTGTTGTTAACATTTTGCTCTCTTTGCTTTATCATTTGTGTTCATGTTTGTGCTTAACTTTTGCTCTCTTTGTTACTCTCTCCTTCCACACAGGTGACTTTTTCCCCCCAGAACTATTTGGGCATGCATCATGGTCCTTTGCCTTTAAATACTTCAATGTGTATATCTTAAAAATAGGATATCGTGACTGTAATGCAGCTATCAACCAGTAAATTTATCTTTGATATAATGCTTTAATCTACCGTCTGTATTCTAGTTTTGTCAGTTGCTCAGATAATTTATAACTTTTCTCTCCCTTCGGTATGGAGTCCTGATACAAGATCAGGTATTGCACTTAGTTGTCGAGTCTGGCATCCTTTAATCTGGAACATCTCTGAGGTCTTTTTTTTTTGTTTTTATGACATTGACATTTTTGAAGAAAAGAGTACCTACACTATACTACTCCCTTTTCTCTCTCAACTTATTCTCTGTGTGGACTCAGATTACCACTTTTTCCTGGTGGCTTATCATTATCCTGTACTTCTTTATTAATTTGGTACTAAATTGTCCCATATTTGGCCAGTTGGGAATCCCTTTGAGCTAGTTTTTGTCCTTGATGTCCAAATCACTTTTTAAAAATTGTTTTAAAGTACTTCCTTGCCTTCTGGCCTAACAGTACGCTCGCTCTTAGGATTACCTATCTCAGCCGTGAAATCAACCATTTCTCTGAAGAGTCTTTGTTCCTGTTAGTGGGGGAAATGGCATTAGAGACAAAAATGTTGATACTCTGTGTCCTGAGTGCCATGAGATATCCTTGCTTTTGGGCCCTTTCAGCAGACAGAACTGGAAAATACATGTTTGTATATACACAAAAACATATATGTGCACATACATGTGTATTCAAATGTATGCTATTTTAGAAATCTGACACTGATAAATCCAGTTAGTCCTTTCTGACCTTCAGTGTCTTTGTAATATTCTTGTCTTCAGTTCGGTTGAATTCTAGTTAGTATAGGGGGACTAAAATGGACATCTGTCCTTTTTCTTTGAGAGGAAAGTTACTTCAGGGAGAAAACTAATGCATTTTTTTTTTCCAGCTCCCCTCCTGCTCTGCCTAGCCTTAGCCATTGGCTTCAGCCTTTGTTACTTCTGAACCCAGCTCATTCAGAGGAAGAAAAATGCAAGGGAGAGTTAAACTGTCACACAGCTCAAATAACTCAGCAGCTATAAGTTTTCCTGCACATACCAGATCAACATGCTCTGTTTATCCAGCTTCATTTTACTTTCTTTTTTATCTTTAAATTGGGAATAATTCCATAAGCTGGGGTCCTCACATTTTATCTGTTGACACATGATTTCTGACTTCCTCTGAATAATCTGAAGGTTATATGTGAGATAAGGGGTGGAGAGTATTGATGAATATTTAAGTTACTAATAAAAGTAAAGAATAACTGGGTCTTTTGTCCCTAGAACACCCTCTCTCCAATACCCTAATAACCTACTACTTCCAGTCAAGAAGACCAGCCAGCCAGCAGTCACCTTTTGGTTAATACCATGGTAGTAACTTAGCTAGCCAGGCTATAAGAGCAACTGATAGAGTCTTTGAAAGCTTTCTCAGGGATTTTTCACTGAAAGATATTTTCCCTTCTTTTTGGGGCCCTACAGATCTGTCTTCCAAGGCAGCAGGCACACCAAAGAAGAAAGCTGTTGTCCAGGCTAAGTTGACAGCCACTGGCCAGGTGGCATCTCCAGTGAAAGGTGCCTCATTTGTCACCAATTCCAATCCCCGGAAGTTTTCTGGCTTTTCAGGTAAGACAGGTTAGGGCTACATGAGCTGTTGCAGCCCTTCTTTTATTTAGGTATCCTGGGAGACCAAAATTTGGTACTCTGGTTAAGAGTGACCATTCTGTGCCATCTAGCCTCCTTAATACAGTTGACTATTAAACATCACGGGCATTAGGGGCTCTAAATCCCATGCACAGTTGAACTTCCAAATGTCATTTATAGTCTGCCTTCCTTATCCAAGTTTCCACTTTATGCATGGTTCCACCATGCCCTTCAGTTCTGCATCCCTGGGTTCAATCAACTGCCAACTGTATAGTACTTATTTGCTATTGAAGAACTCTGCATGTAAGTGGAGCCATGCAGTTCAAACCCATGTTGTTCAAGAGTCAACTGTAATTTGCTTTCATCTGAGCAGAGAGGTAATGGCCAGCTAATTCTCAGCGCCCCACATATATAGCATTTCTTTGTATATTTTAATCTCTGTTGCAGCAAAAAGATGTTTGTTCTGTCAAGACTTTTTCCCCTTGAAGTAGTTTACCTGGATCAGACATTATTACAGCCTGCCATTGACTTCCTTGTTTTGGGGTTTTTTTGGTTTTTGGGGGTTTTTTTAAATAGTTATTTATTTATTTGGCTGTGTCAGGTCTTAGTTGTGGCACACGGGATCATTTATCTTTGCTGCAGAATGCAGCATATTTAGTTTTGGCATTTGAACTCTTAGTTGTAGCCTGTGGGATCTAGTTCCCTAACCAGGGATCAAATGTCAGCGCCCTGCATTGGGAGCATGGAGTCTTAGCCACTGGACCACCAGAGAAGTCCCACTTCCTTGCTTTTTGATAATGGAAGAGTTGTGAGAAATTGCATCCCTACACTTGCCCTAATTGGAGATGAAAGTAGAGAAGGGAGATGTCCTGCATGTCCTTGTGTAGCAGACAGCATTGGGCTGGGGGCTTTTGCATGTGTGGTTTCATTTGTTCTTCATTTAATGTTGGGTAGTATTTTTATTAGGCCCATTTTATGAATGAGAAAACCAATGCTCAACGTCATTATGGAGTTTTTAATAGTTACCCTGAAGTCTGTTTAACTTCAAAACCTGTGCTTTTTTACTCTCCAACCTGTTACCTGTTTTATTTGGAGACATTCTTATGACTGCCTCAGCTAAAGAAAATAAAATCAAAACTCAAGGGCTCAGAAGTTGTTCGAGGAGGTTGCTCTGTTTGAGTAAAAGAAGCCTGGACTTGAGGTCGGAAGACCTCGGTCCAGGTCTGAGCCTCTGGCGTCATCTGTGAAGTGGGAATGGCAGCACCTACGTTGTGGACCCATGGTATCTCACAAGGAATAAAGAAGAGAAAGTTGCAAAAACAGTGCCTGACTCTACAATTTTTAATCATTTTAAACTCTGAGGTTTGCTTGGTTTTTGCCTAGTGGTAAACCAAAGATAGAAATATAGAAGAGTTCAGGTGACAGTAAGGGCAGTGTATTTCTGGAAGAGCTTGGTTCTGGGGAGGGAATTTCAGGGAAGGCGGGTGTTCCATTTCTGCCAAGCTGCCGAACAGTGACACTTTGGAGATTTTGTCCCTTAAAGTCCTCTTTAAATGCCAGGTCAGAGATGAGGATAGATTTCTAATTTACAAACTCCAGGCAAGAAGATGCTTACATCAGCAGACAGCGTGGTAACGACTGTCTGCTGCAGCTTTCAGAGTGAAATTTACTTTGTAAATGGTCACAAGAAGGTAATAGGATCACTTGAGAGTTGTTTGGGGTGTCTGGAGAAAAGTCCTCCTTGCTGCCTACCTTTTTTAAAAAATGTTTATTTATTTATTTGTTTGTGTTGGTCTTAGTTGCAGCCTGTGGGATCTAGTTCCCTGGCCAGGGATCAAACCTGGGCCCCTGCACTGGGAACGCGGAGTCTTAGCCATAGGACCACCAGGGAGTTCCAAATCTAGAGCTTTTTGTTATTGTGGTTGTGGTTGTTAGTTGCTCCATCGTGTTTTAACTCTTTGTGACCCCATGGACTGTAGCCTTCCGGGCTCCTCTGTCCACAGGGATTTCCAGACAAGAACACCAGAGCGGGTTGCCATTTCCTTCTCCAGGGAATCCCTTCTGACCCAGGGATTGAACTCACATCTCCTGCAGGTCTCCTGCATTGCAGGCAGATTCTTTACCACTGAGCCACAGGGGAAGCCCCCTTTCGTTTTTACAGGAAGAGAGAAGAAAAAGTGGTGCTGGGGGTGGTGGGGAGGGGCAGGGGGCTAGTGGCAAGCGACTGGGAATGCTTCTGTCCTCAGGCCTCAGTTTTCTCACCAACAAGAAGAGGTTACGCTAGATCATCTTTAAGGCATCTTCAGTTCCAACAATCTGCAGTAGCAGTAGTTTCAGAGTAACTAAGGCGTCCCTTGATTTCTTTTTCCTTCCTGATTCCAACTTTTCTGGGTTCAGCTTTGCAATTGCACTGAGATCATCCTGACCACTCTTGGCTTGAAAATGGCCCTTGTTCTTCGGTAAGCACTCATATAAAGAAATACACGTCAGCTGGTCCTTTGCTTCAGTGTGAAGCAGTTGTTTCTTTACTCTTAATAGCTGTGAGATTTGAGGAAATCACTTGACCTCTGTTTTTTCACCCACAAAATACATATAATGATATCTACTCCCAAAGGGCTCTTTGGGGAGATTAAGTAAAGCTACACATAGAGAACCAGCAGAGTGCCCATTAGTTTCTCTTGCTTTCTTTTCAGCAACGCAAAATGAATTATCTCTCCCTTTTTCTCTCTCCAACAGCCAAGCCCAACAACTCTGGGGAAGCCCACTCCAGCCCTACCCCCAAGGCCCCTAAGACAAGTCTGTCCTCAAGCAAATGTGACCCAAAACACAAGGATTGTCTGCTGCGTGAGTTTCGGAAGTTGTGTGCCATGGTGGCTGAAAATCCTAGCTACAACACGAAAACCCAGATCATCCAGGACTTCCTTCAGAAAGGCTCAGCAGGAGGTGGGCCTCGAGCACCCTGGATGGGCTTCTCTCAAGAGCTCGGAGTCAGGGCCGGCTTCATGGGCACGTGAACTGTACAGTTGCACAGGCCTCGTGCTTGGTTTGATGTTCTGCTATTTTGCTGTCTTGAAATTCACTGTGTAGCCAAATCTGTTCCAGACACATGGGCATCTTCCTTCCTTCCTTCCTCTGCCCCCTAGGAGGCCAGAAGAATCTATCCCATTTGACCAAAAGGAAAATACACTCATGTTTGATTTGGGTTCTGTGAGCCACTTGCACAGCTTGGAATAGAATCTCCCGACTGTGTTCCTTTTTATTCATCTAACGAATGACCGTTGAACATCTGTGATGTGCCCGTCACTGGGAACACGACAGTGAGAGGCATGGCTCTGCCCCGCAGGAGTTCATCCAGGGGCTGACAGGGAGGCAGTCTCACAGACCCCCAGCTGCTGGATGCCTCGGCCTCTGCCCGGCAGAGGTGTCCTGGTGGAACGCACACCCTCCCCTGAGGGCCTGTGCGGCCGGGGCAGCAGTGCAGACATCTCTCTTGGTTCTTTGAGTTTATGTGCTTGTTTGTTTAAGCTCCATGTCTCAAGAAAGGTTTCTTTCTTCTGTCTCCTCCAGATGGTTTCCACGGCGACGTGTACCTAACAGTGAAGCTGCTGCTGCCGGGTGTTATTAAGAGTGTTTACAACTTGAATGATAAGCAGATTGTGAAGCTTTTCAGCCGCATTTTTAACTGCAACTCAGATGACATGACACGAGACCTAGAGCAGGTCAGAGAAAGGGGAGGGTAGGTGGATTCCAAGTGGGGTTCTGCTGAGCCGGTCATCTGCACTCTCTTTTTTTCCTGGTGGAGCAGATACTGTTTCAGAAAACTGAAACCCACTTGAGCAAGCCTTCATTAGGAGAGGAGTTGAATGGGAGGCTACAGCTGTTAGTTTCACAAGGTTCTGAAGACTGGACTTAACATTACTGCTGAGCCTGAGAGAAAGACCTAGACTTTGAGAGTGGATCTTAGACTTCCCACTCTCTCTCCAAGGACTCTTGTTCTAAACCTTTATTTGGCCACACCATGTGGCATGTATTAATAGGGTCCTAGTTCCCTAAAAGGGATCGAACCTGTGACCCCTGCGCTAGAAGCTCTGCTTCTTAGCCACTGGCAGGGAATTCCCTCTGGGCCTTATTTTTTCCTTGCTTTTTTTTCCCCTTATAACTTGGGCTTGCCATTCAGTTTTGGTTTGTTCATGACTCCAGCCTTGGCACCTAGAAAGTTGCTGTCCAAACACCCCCATAATCTAATGACTGTGTCTGTCTCATAATTCAGATTCTAACAGGACTCACATTGGCTTGGCCCTGCATTAGTTCTTACATCATTTCTCAGCTCGGGCAGATGACCAGATCCTGTGGTGGATGGCAGTGCCGTTTCCAGGAGCTGTGGGTGGAATAGATTATCTAAGCAGTGAAATCAATATTTGTGAGTTTCGGACAGGAGCAGTGATTGAAATCTCTAATTCACCTGTAGTCAGGAGGGCTTGGGGGTTACACACGGCCACTTTGGGGTTGTTGCATGGTATTTTGGTTTTTGGAGACAGGGTGACGTGTCAGAGACAATCAGAGTCTTCTTTGAGCAGAGCAAGTCTTTCCCTCCAGCTGCCAAGAGCCTCCTTACCATCCAGGAGGTGGACGAGTTCCTCATGCGGCTCTCCAAGCTCACCAAGGAGGACGAGCAGCAACAGGCCCTGCAGGACATCGCCTCCAGGTGGGGGCACTGCCCACCGGGGACGGGCCTGGGGAGGTGGACTCACCAGGGAAGGAAGGTTTGGGAGCTTTTAACTTGAATGTGCCTCATCCCTCTAGGTGTACAGCCAATGACCTTAAGTGCATCATCAGGTTGATAAAGCATGATCTGAAGATGAACTCAGGTGCAAAACACGTGTAAGTACCAGGTCCTTTGATGGTGGAAGCTGCCCACTTCCTGTGTTGTCAGCTGGTGTCAGGACTTGGAAACCCCAATTTGGGTTTGAATCCTGATTCTGCCTCCTTCCTTCCTGTGGGACCCATCAGTTGACCTAGCTCAGCCTCCATTTTCTCATGTTAAATGGAGATAACAGTACCCTTTTCACAGAATTGTTAGAGTCAAACATAGGGGATATGTTCAAAAAGTATGGTATGAGTTGCTTGACTACTCCAGCCCCCTCTTTGCTATGGCAGCATCCAGGTAGCATGGTGTCTCAAAAGAGCTGAGTTTTCCAAGATCTTTTTCTCCTGTGAAAGTCTTTAGACAGTAGGACATAACCACTTCCCCATATATTGGGATCCCAGCAGTTATGTCCTGTTGTTGCTGGACATAACATGTTGCAGCATATTGCTACTATCCAGAGCGATAAGGTCAAGAACAGTGGTGTTTGTTTCCTTGCTCCTGTTGGCTTCGGCAGGTTAGATGCCCTAGACCCCAATGCCTATGAAGCCTTCAAAGCCTCACGCAACCTGCAGGATGTGGTGGAGCGGGTCCTCCGCAACGAGCAGGAGGTGGAGAAGGAGCCAGGCCAGAGACGAGCTCTGCGTGTGCAGGCCTCTCTGATGACCCCGGTGCAGCCCATGCTGGTAAGGACCTTGCTCTTGCCCTGCTTCCTGCTCCTGCGTGAGGCTGCTACCCTTCCCTGGGAGATCTGAGAGGGTATGATGCTGAAGGCCATGCAAGAAAGATGACTGGAAGATTTCGGGGAGGGAAGAGTAGAGTTGCAGGGGGTGTTTTTCCTGGGGGAGATAGCGTGAGCAGTGGAAAGACCTGGGAACTCAGCCATCTCTGCCCTCAGCCAGCTGTGGAATCTTAGGTGAGGTCCTCAGTCTCTCTTGATCCTGAGTTTTCTTACGTAAATGGTGTCTGAAGTGTCCACCCTGAGTGGTTCATCTGTCATCTTTCCTGAAGTCAGGTGGATGTGTGCAGTAATTCCTGAGTCTCTGTGACATGCCCTAAAGTAGCTCTGAGAGTTGGTGACAGAGCCAGCCTTCCTGTGAGAGGGTACCTCAGGTCTCCTTTTTTTTTTCTGGAAAGAGAAGAAGCTTAAGGAATGAAGACCAGCTCTCCTTGGGCCTCTGCTTGTTCCATGATAAATGGGATTTCCTTCCTGGCATGGGTTTTCCTGTGCAACAGGACAGGCCACGCCTGCTGCTGTGCCTGCTCCGAGAGCCTTGGATTGTCTCATTGGGGTGCACTGCTCTTTATGGAAGCCTTGTGGTGTGTGCCTGAAGTGCTAGTCTAGGGTTCTGTGTTGGGATAGCCAGCACCAAAGTAATAAGATCTCCACTTGAGGGACAGGACCAGTCACCTCCATTAGTAGACTTTCTGATTTTTATAAGAATTTTTTTTGGAATCTGTTCCACAGTCTCATTTGAAGCATGGCATAGCTTATACTGGGCTTCCCCGGTGGCTCAGTGGTAAAGAATCCACCTTCCAATGCAGGAGTCGCAGATTTGATCCCTGGGTCGGGAAGATCCCCTGGAGAAGGAATTGGCAACCTACTCCAGTATTCTTGCCTGGGAAACACCATGGACAGAGGAGCCTGGCGTACTACAGTCCCTGCGGTCACAAAAGAGTCAGATACAACTTAGTGACTAAACAGCAACAATAGGTTACACGCTTACTGGGTAACCACCCAAGCTTTGGAGTTGGGTCTAGATTCATATCTCATTCCTGCCCTTCACTAGCTGTGTAATAGAAAGTGAGCACTTAACCTCTGTGAATTTCAGTTTTCTCATTCATAACGTGAAAACAATATATCGGAATACGATGCTGCCCAGCCTTTTCACTCCCTCTTGCCCTGAGGGTGTGCTCTGGCTAAGGGGCCCCGGGCTCCGCGCTGTCCCTGCCGAGCCACCTCTCTGGGAAGAGCACCTGTAAGTCTCCAGGCTTGTCCTCCCCCTTTCCCCGCCTCCAAGGCTGAGGCCTGCAAGTCCATCGAGTACGCCATGAAGAAGTGTCCAAACGGCATGTTCTCTGAGATCAAGTATGACGGGGAGCGAGTCCAGGTGCATAAGAAGGGGGACCACTTCAGCTACTTCAGCCGCAGTCTCAAGCCCGTCCTGCCACACAAGGTACAGACCCCTTCCTTTCTGCCAGGACTCTTCTGCCTGTCTCTAAGGATCTCAAAGCCTGTGTTCCAGTGCCTTTCCAGCTCTGGTGCAAAATAGAAGCTGTTTTGTATTTGAATGGAAGAATGAATTGATATATTCATTTTTGGAATCTTCCATACTGTGGGGCTGCTCGGGAGGAACAGCCCAAGAGCGTAGCCAGGGGTCAGCCATCGTGGAGCCTAGGGGCAGTGACGCCAGGACAGCGAGTTCAGCTGGTGACAACTTGCTGTGCTCGTCCTCTGCCTTTCTAGGTCCTGTGTGCTCACCCTGAGCTACGTCACGGCTCAGGTACAAAGAACTGTTAGGCAGTCAGTCATTAATTTGTTCAACTTCTTTTATTTTTACTGTTTTAATGTTTTGTCTGTGCCACACAGCATGCAGGATCTTAGTTCCCCCACCAGGGAGCAAACCCGTGCACCCTACTGGCCACTGAAATACCAGGGAAGTCCCCTGTTCAACAAATATTTATCAAGGGTTGATGCCGGGCACTGTCTAAGAGGGTGGGCATCCAGCATTTAATGAAAAATTTCAAAAAAGAACGGAAGTTCTGTGCCTCCAGAGGCTTACATTCAGACAAACACAATCCCATGGGGGCTTCTGAGACCCCCGGCTCCTGCCCTTAATCAGGGGGCACTGAGAACCTCGCCCCTCGGCCCTTCTCAGCTCCCGGGGCCCCTGGGAGCCCTTGGGGGTTGCCCAGGGAAAAGCAGTGGGGACAGCTGGCTCCAGTAGCTGGGAGGTGGGTGGCCCTCCTGTCCCTGCTCCCCCTTCTGCCTTTGCTCAGAGTCCCGAGGGAAGGGGACGCCCACACCCTTGCCTGGCCTGGTCTGGCCATTAGTTTGGAGTGTTTCTGAGAGCTGAGCACGACCTCCTCAAGCGCATTAGTGAAGACCCACCTTATGTTTTCTCGCTGCTCCTAAGGGAGTTCATTTCTCTCTTTCCATCCTTTTTCCCGCTGGTCTGTTCTGCACGAATCCCGCCTGCCCACCTTCCCTCCCTCTGTTCCATGTTTGTCTGCCTCCCTTCTTCCCCTCATTTTCACTTTCAGACTGTTTCTTTTTCCTGCAGTTCGCTGCAGCCAATAGAAACCGACCCCAGTGTGAGCTTGACCTCTTCCAGGGTCTGGGCAGAGGTCCTGGAACATAGCTGATTGTTCTTGTCTGGCCAGCTGCCAAGACCCGAGTCTGTTTTGCACACCAGCTAGGCTGGCACACACTGGTGCTCTGCCCCCTCAGGGCCCGGCTCTTGCTTTCTCGGTCCTGGCCCCCTCCTCTGAGCGACCCTTCTGCCTCCAGGTGGCCCACTTTAAGGAATTCATCCCCCGGGCTTTCCCTGGGGGCCACAGCATGATCTTGGACTCTGAGGTGCTCCTGATCGACAACAGGACAGGCAAACCACTGCCCTTTGGGACTCTGGGAGTGCACAAGGTACTGGCTCAGGCCCAGTGAGTGAGAGTGAGTGTGTACATGCGTGTGTGCCTTCAGTCCAAATGCAGAGGAGTGTACCGCTTACTTACGGTCAAGCTTATCTTCATCTTTGAATTGGTACTGATTTTAGCCCTAAGTTTAGATGTGTTTTGTTTCTGTGTTTTGCATAAAAAGACCTTATAGTGGCACCTGGCTTATAACTGGGTCAGTCTCCACTTAGGACGTGTCTGCCAAGCGCCCTTATGGCCCAGGGGCTCCACAGCACAAACACGCTTTATGCACCACACACTTCAGAGGGTCTGGGAAGTGGGCTGCTTCTCCTGCATTCCATGCCCTCTTACTTTTGTCCCTCGTGTACCTACTGCCTCCTTTTCCCTTACAGAAAGCTGCCTTCCAGGATGCTAATGTCTGCCTGTTTGTGTTTGATTGTATCTACTTCAATGATATCAGCTTAATGGATAGGTGAGAAATCTGTTTTTGATTCCTGGGTAGGGAGGTGGGGGCTTCAGATTTGAAAGGAGAGAGGGCAAGGGGCTGGTGCTGCAGCTCTGGGCCCAGGAGTTGCAGCGGGAACAATTACTGCACAGCCGGCTCCCCATTCAGTGTTAGGAAGAGCCAGTGTGTTGACTAGATCTCGACTCTGAAAGCTTAAGTCATAGAGGAAACCCTGCCATCCACAGCAAAATGGACTGTTTACGAGATACCGACTACGAGCACTGTAGGGTTTCAGTTTATCTCTTCAAAAGCACCTCCGGGTGCGTAAGGCAGATGAATTTCAGTTCAGAGGCTTTAGTCTTGGGAGAGGCTGACAACCAGAAGCTTTCCATTGTCAGGCTCTGTGGTTGCGACCACCTTCGGGATAACTCACAGTCTTGACCTCTTGAGTCCCAGAAACCATTTTGGCCCCCTCCTCCTTTAGAGAGGCATCCCTACCCCCACCCCCACCCCAGCCCCCAGCCCTGAGTGTGGAAGGGGAGGGAGATGGAAGGAGACAGAACTGCCAGCGGAGGAGCTGGGGCTTGGGCTTGAGGTCCTGAGGCCTGTCAGCCTGCTAACCCACCACAGCTCGCTTGGGGCCTGGAGTGAGACAGAGTACAGCCAAGGAGAGTCAGGGTTATTCTTCAAAGGGGACCACGGTTTATACAGTCTGTCTGGGCTGATGAGGTAGGGATAGGACCTATAGCAATGAAGTAACTCTGTGCCGCAGCTCATAGCCATCCATCTTTGGTCCCGACGGAGCCCTGGTCACCCTGGATGGGCAGAACTGGGACACGAGGGCCCGGAGCCATGGCATACGTCTCAGGAAACCAGTCCATCCTTGTCCCTGTCTCTCCTCAGAACTCGGGGGGGTGCGGGGAGCATCCAGGCCTGACCTCAGCTCTCCTGTCCTCCTCAGGCCTCTGTGTGAGCGGCGGAAGCTTCTTCATGACAACATGGTTGAAATCCCCAACCGGATCATGTTCTCAGAAATGAAGCAAGTCACAGTGAGTGAGGATCCCACCTTCGGCAGAGCAGAGTGCCCCATGGGTCAGACGTGGTTGGGAGAATGGGTGTTATTTTTTTAAGAGGGAGGCTGATGTGGATACGAGCAGACCTTGGAGATATTGTGGGTTTGGTTCTAGACCACCACAGTAAAGCAGTATCACAGAAAATAAGTCACGTAACTTATGAATTCCCAGTACACAGAAAAGTTACATTAACACTCTAGTCTGTTAGGTGTGCAATAGCATTATGTCTAAAAAAACAATGTACATACCTTAACTGAAAATACTACTAAAAAATGGTTACCATGATCTGACAACATTTTGTCAAAAGAAAGAAAACACAGTATCTGCAAAATGTGGTATAGCAAAGCACAGTAAGACAGGCTCTGCCGGTGTTCGTGTGTGAGTCCCACCTGGGAGGGCAGGGCGTGAGAGGTCCTTGCCAGGTGGGCGCCCAGTCAGAGCTGAACTGGCTCTCTGGCCGGTCCCTGCTCTGCCGGCCCTTTTGTTCCTTGTGTTCAAGTCAGCGTGTTTGCAGCAGGCGCTTTGCTAGTGTGTGGAAGGAAACCACCTCCACCTCGCTGCCAAAGCCCTTCTCTGTTCTCCCACAGAAAGCTTCCGACTTGGTGGACATGATCAACAGGGTGATCCAGGAGGGGCTGGAAGGGCTGGTGCTGAAGGACGTGAAGGTAAGGTGGTCACGTCCTTTGCTCTCTTCCGCCCTGGCCAGGACGTGGCTGTGGCAGTTAGAGGTGCTCGGGGGGGTGCCGTCGCAGGATTCTGGTCTAAAGGCTGGGTTGGTGCTCGTCTCCGGGAGGGCACTCGACAGATGCCGCTGTCGTGTGAGCAGGTGAAAAGCCCCCGTCGCAGCGCCTCCATGCCCGTTTGTGGTCTCTCTTGCCTCCCCTCAGGGAACTTACGAGCCTGGAAAGCGCCACTGGCTGAAAGTGAAGAAGGACTATTTGAACGAGGGCGCCATGGCCGACACAGCTGACCTGGTGGTGCTTGGGGCCTTCTACGGGCAAGGGAGCAAAGGTCAGGGCGGCCTCTGGCCCCTGGGGTGGTGCGTCTTTGAAAGGCACCACTCAAGGCACAGGCCGGCCTTTTTGCTGGCTGGATGTGCTGGCACGGCCAGTCATGGCGTCCGAAGCTCTGGCTGAGGGGCCGGCCTCGCCCATGCTGCCTCAGGCAGGAACAGGGGGCGCTGCAGACCCAGGCAGGGGGAGGTCAGGCGAGAGTGCCCTGGGCTCGCTGGCCCAGAAAGACACCAGCCACTGTTTCTTCAAGGCCTGGTGGCTTTCTCCTCAGGGAATATCTCCATTTCCTAACTGGAGGGGAAGCTGGGGTCTGAGGAAGTGGTGCTCACGGCATCTTTCTGGGTGCCAGGCACTATTCAGTTCCTTTTAGTCCAGCATTCAGTGTGATTGTCCCGAATGCACTGAAGTTGGGACTCCAAAAGGTTAACCTCACACGGCTAGTAAGAAGTGAATCCAGGAGGTGGTCTCCAGCACTCTGATGCCGAGGCCCGGGCCCTTTCCTCCGCAGGCTGCCTCTCACAGGGCCGGCGGGTACCCCCCACCCCCAACCCAGTCCCTCCTCCCCCCAGGTGGCATGATGTCCATCTTCCTCATGGGCTGCTATGACCCGAGCAGCCAGAAGTGGTGCACGGTCACCAAGTGTGCAGGAGGCCACGACGATGCGACGCTCGCCCGCCTGCAGACGGAACTGGACATGGTGAAGATCAGCAAGGTGAGGGGGGCCCTGGGGCCCTGGCCTCTGGACCAGCCATCATTTCTGAGACGGGCAGTGTTGTGGGGGGTGGGGAGGAAGCTGTAGGTCTTGTTTGTCTCCACAGAAAAGAGAGCTGCTGCTTGCACAAGAGCTGTGTTAGGCCCTCAAATCCTCTGAGGACCTACCCTGTGGAATCTGGCCTGTGTGCCCTCCAGGCCACAGCCTCTCTGGGCAGGGAGGATGCCAGGGGTGAGGGGCAGCCTTTTGTGATAAGTCACCTCTTCTCACAAGCCTGCCACCAAGAGCACATTTAAGTCCTGTTTTGGCAACAGCCCAGGACAGCATCCTTTCTCCTCTAGGATCCCAGCAAGATACCCAACTGGCTGAAAATCAATAAGATCTATTACCCTGACTTCATCGTTCCAGACCCAAAGGTATTATCCCATGGCCTGGGGTTCTCCAGCCCCCAAAGTGAGTTTGTACATTGTCTAGTGCCACAGAGACGTCATCTCAGCATCACTGACAGTCCACCCCGGGGTGGGGAATCAGGTGACAGGCACAGAGATGACCAGTCAACACTGAGGGGTCATCCTTACCAGAGAGGAAGAGCCTCTCCCTCCTCGAGTCACAGAGGGTCTGTTCGAATGTGGCCTGGCCCAGTCCTTTCTGCGCTGACAGAGAAGCTGAGGCCTGGGGGAGAAGCGGGGCTCCCGAGGCCACACGGCACCAGCCGCGGGGCTAGAACTTGTCTCACTCCTGTTACCCACTGCTGTTTCGGTCCTAATTGTGCTCTGTTGCTTTTAGCTGGGCTTCCAGGTGAGGCTCAGTGGTAAAGAACCCGCCTGCCAAGCAGGAGACACAAGTTCAGTCCCTGGGTCAGGAAGATCCCCTGGAGGAGCATATGGCGACTCACTCCCGTATCCTTGTCAGGAGAATCCCACGGACAGAGGAGCCTGGCAGGCTACAGCCTGTGGGGTCACAAAGAGTCAGACACAACTTAGCAGCTAAACAGCAGCATCACCATTGCTTTTACCTGATTGGAAGGTGTTTTCTACTTACCCAGTGAATGACCTGACTTCTCCTGACAGAAAGCTGCTGTGTGGGAGATCACAGGGGCTGAATTCTCGAAATCTGAGGCTCACACAGCCGATGGGATCTCCATCCGATTCCCCCGCTGCACCCGAATCCGTGATGATAAGGACTGGAAGTCTGCCACGAACCTCCCCCAACTCAAGGTGCCGGCGCCCGGGCTACGCCCATGTCCTGTTCCCCCCTCCCAGCTCTGGCACCCAGGGCACCTGCCCTCCTGCGTTCTCCCCCTCCCCCTCCAGCGTGCTGAGAGGGGCCAGGAGGGCAGTTACTGGAAAGGGGGAGCGGCACGTCCCCCAGGAGAGCGCTCTGCCTGAATCAGGCATCCTGGGCAGCCCTGCTCCCTGTCTCACAGCCTCCTGGGGAGGACTTCCCCCCAGGCTTCAGGCTCCACATTGCTGAGGAGGACTGGGGAACAGAGAACAGTGATCTGTGCAGATTTCTGCAGAAACAGGGCCAGAGCTAGAAAAGCCCTGAGGAAGCCAGCTGCCTTTGCCTGCTGTGTGTCCTCCCCTCATTTTCCTCAGCCCCGGGCACCTAAAACAGACCACACAGGTTGCCTGAGCCCTGAGGCTGGGAAAGGAGGGATAACCGATATTCTCCCCTCTCTCAGGAGCTGTACCAGCTGTCTAAGGAGCGGGCAGCCTTCGCTGTCACAGCCGGGGATGAGGGAAGCTCCGCCACAGGGAGCAGCAGTGGGGAGAACGAGGGCACCTCAGGGCCGGCTGTGCCTCACGCCGCCCCGAGAGCCTCCCCCAGGCAGCCTCTCACCAGCGCCAAGAAGGCTGGGGGCAAGGCGGGTGGCTGCACCAACAGAGGTGGTAAGGAGGGAGGGAGTGCCTGGGGCACCGAGGAGTGGGCGTGGGGACGGGGGCGGGGGCCCGTCTCCCATCAGCAGCCCTGAGGCCCTGGGACCCCGTCCACTGCAGCTGGTGTTGCCTGCGTTCCTGCTGTGTGTGCCTCCGACGGCAGCCGCTGATCTGCAGGTTCCCCTCCTGCCCTGCACTCCTGACAGACAGGGCCCCCGAGAGCCACGGGAGCTGGGGTGATCGCCTCTGCGCTCAGGGCTCAGCAGACAGCCCCTCCTGTCTCACCCGTGCTGAGAGCAGAGGGGCTGACTTCACCGCTTCTGCCCTCTTCTGGGTTCTTACCCTGAGCTCTCACCTGCAGGCAACCCGCCAGCTGCAAAGCCCTCCCCCGTGAGAGTGGGACTGAAGCGGAAGGCTCCCGACGAGACCCCATGCCAAGCCAAGGTGAGGGTGTGCGCCCCGCGTGCCCAGCCCTTTGCACTTGGCCTCTGAGCCATGAGCAAGGTGTGGGCGGGCTGTCCCCCACCCCCCGCAGCTCCCCTGGCCTTGGGCAGAGCCACAGTCCGCTGGCTCCACCCTGTGCCCTCTTGTTGCCTTGCAGAGGCAGCCAGCCAGCAAGCAGAGAGGAAGGAGAGCTGTGCCCGCAGGCAGGAGATAGAACAGCAGGCCCAGCCGGCAGTCTGCAGGGACCCACCCAGCTGCCGGTCCCAAATCCCAGTTGACATTAAAGGGGAGAAAGCCCAGCCTGGGTGTGGGAGTGCAGCCGTGTGAGTTTGTGAACAGGGCCAGCCAGTGAGGAGCAGGAGAGGGCGCTGGTTCAGTGACCATCCTCCTCTCCTCTCGTACTCCGTGGTCAGTTTGGTGTGACAACCGCTACTGAGCGCTTACCAAGGCCAGTGACTCGGTTCTACCCTGGAGGCGCTGCTGGCTCAGAGGCAGATAGAGGTGTCGGCATCTGGTCAGGACAGGGAGGCTGTGCCACCCTGCCCCCGGCAGTCAGCATGGAGGTCACCATGGCACCCGGGGACCTTGCTGTCCTTCCCCTACTAAAGCCCTGGAATCCATCAGTCTCGAGCAGGGCTCCTGGCCCCTCGGCGCACACAGGGCTGCTCGTGGGTCGGGCAGCATCACTCCGAGCCCCACAGGCCCTGCCCACCAGTCCTTGGGTGGTTCCTGAGACTTGTGCTTCCCCTTTTCCAGGTGCCTCGTGGGGACCCGTCCCCTCACCCCCTTTCCTCTCAGCAAGGATGGAAAGGCGTGTTGGTCATGTGTAACCTGGAGTGGCCGGATGGGGGTTTTTGGTTTTTTGTCTTGACTTGGCTGCACCAGATCTTAGTTGTGGCACATGGGGTCCTTACTTGTAGTACGTGGGACCTATTTCCCTGACCAGGGATCAAACTTGGGCCCCTTGCACTGGGAGCTAAGTCTTAGCCACCGGACCACCCAGGGAAGTCCCAGGATGGGGGTTTTGGGCCGTTTCCTTTTCTCCTGTAAACCCTTTACCCATGTCCTGACCACTAGTCTCCATCTCTCAGCTCCTTCCCGAGCCAGGTCAGAGCCACCTGCCCCAGCCCCGCCCGGCCCTGACTGCTGTGCCTTTGCAGGTGCTGCTGGACATATTCACTGGAGTGCGGCTCTACCTGCCACCCTCCACGCCAGACTTCAGCCGCCTCAGACGCTACTTTGTGGCATTCGATGGGGACCTGGTGCAGGAATTTGACGTGGGCTCAGCCACACACGTGCTGGGTGGCGGGGACAGGAATCCTGAGGCCCAGCAGGTCTCCCCAGAGTGGATTTGGGCGTGTATCCGGAAACGGAGGCTGGTGGCTCCTTGCTAGGACTGCCACCTGCCCCTCCCTCGGGTGTACTCCCCACCGCACTGCTTCTGGACTGGGCACCGGGCGGGCGGCTGGGCGGGCAGGCGCCAGAGGAACCCAAGGTGGGGGCCACTCTCTCCTCCAAGCTATGCATCTTCCAGAGCCCACCAGCCACTTGTGCTGTCTTCCAGACTGGAGTGAGTTGCTGTGTACCACCAGTGAAGTCAGGTTCTCCTGCCAGTTTACATAGGTCTTTCAGATCTGGGTGCTGGTTTTGACCTTTTTTTTTTTCTTTTCTTTGAAAAGAAGCTTTTTTAAAAAAAAGAAAAATGGAACCCCCTTGGAGTTACCTTTGTCCTTCCCCAAACACCTCCTGTAATTCTGGTGATTAAGGAATGGAGGGGAGGCTGGCTGTTGAAGTTCCCCTTCTACTTCCAGGTTCCTTTTAAAGTTGTATTTAAAAGAGTATCCTCAGAAATGCTTATAGTGGGCAAAACTTGTATTCAGCCTGGCCATTTTTGCCAGGAATGAAATTGCATCTGAAAGAAAACAAAATGGATTTTTATGTCTCGCTTCTCCGTGCTCTCCTGTTAAACAGTGTGTGGGTCCTGGTTTGAAGGGAGGGGAGCAGGACCAGGAAGGATGGACAGGGCGGTGGTGTGGGCTCCGGGGCCGCGGGCTCAGGAGGAGCTGCCCCACCCCATCTGCAGACAGGACCGCTCTTCAGAAACCCACCTGAGGACAGATGCGGCCTGCTTATAGAGAACACCTGTGCCACTTGAGGTGGATTTGCGTGAATAAAGGGAAAACAGCATAGATGAGTCCGGTTCAGGAGAACTCTCTACGGCACCAGCAGCACCATCCTGGCGACCTCCTTTGGCCGAGGGGAAGCAACCACATTCAGCTGCTGAGCATGTGGGACATGCTGGTGACATACCCGAGAGCTGGACTTACCATCTTCAGCTTCAAGTAGTCACGTGAGGCGAACCGACGCTCACAGTGGACACTGCAGGTAGAGACAGCTGGTTCGAAGCAAGCCCTGAAAACTGAACAGCTGTCACCCAGAGGCACACAGACCGGAAGTGCACCTGAATCGTAAGGTTGCTGAAAAGAGGAAGTGGACTGAAGGTGCGGCTGCGCACATGGTGATCCAGAGTTGGGGAAATCAGCCCAGGTGTGTGTCCTGACCCTGCTTGGGAGGGTGGGCCCTGGCCTCTGCCTTCAGGGCCTGTGAGACACCACCACAGCCTCACGCCTGTGCATTACTGTGTGCACTCTGGTCTGAGTGCAGGCTCCTCATGTCAGCCTCTGGTTCTGAACTGGCTTCCATCTAGTTCCGAGGGTCCATCCTGTTTTTCCTTATCAACAAGTCGGCAGGCTGCTTGTCCGACCCCTGGAAGTGAGATGACTGGAGCATACCTGAGTAAGAGGATAAGCAGGGGCCACTGCCTACCCCCTGCCTTCCAGGGTAATCAGCTAAGGTCACTTCAGCCTGCCTGATCTGGGTTTCCACCTGCTGCTTGCAGTGTGTTAGGAGGAAGGGGCAGGGGGAGGTGCCCTGACGCTAGGCCAGGACATTTGGGGGTTCTGAATAGGCACCACTCAGTCTGGCTTCACTGTTGAAAATAAGACACTTTTTATTCTATCCTCCGTGGAGACAAAAGCTGCTACTCCTCTGAGCACTGACCTGCATAAATTTTCACCCCCTCTCCAGCCTCCTCAGGCCAAGCAGCTGGACAGAGCTCTCCCCTCAGGATTTTGCCTTTGCTTGGCTGGTCTCCAGAGTGCACCCGTGCAACAGAGGGGGTCATTTCAGTCATGAGCTTGGCCCCTCCCCACCTCGCTGGGTATGTTACCTTCAGCTCACCGTTCAGGGTGTCGGTTTCCTTCCAGTCTTTCTGATCCATGTTTCTCTTTTGCTGCTGAGATTATATACGATTTTGTATTTCACAGACCATAAGCAACATCATCTTAAACCTCCCCAGCAGGGTGCTGGAGGCCTGCCCTCCTTTGAGCCTTTGTTTACTTGCTGGTTGGCAGCAGGCAAGAGGTCACCCTGAGTGCTGAACGGGTCAGCCGCCCAGAACAATGACAAAGTGCTGTGGCTCAGCCTTGAGCTTCTATGCCCTTTTGGCAAGATCCCTTCCTTCTGCAGTCACAGGGCAGATCTGCACTAAATCCGGCTCTCCCAAAGGCTATGCTCTCAGGAGTCCCCTCCCCTGCTCACTGGTCAGACAGGCATACCCACCTGCACGGAGACACAGGGCACGCTGCCCTCGAGGCGGGGCCAGCCTCTGAGCCGCAGTCCAGCCATCTCCCAGGGTCGCCTGAAGACACCTGGGCACCCTGGCTGCCCTCAGACTCCTTTCCACCCACATCTTGAAAGTCTGCTCCTACCAGATCAGGGTCCATATCTGAATTCACTTGATGCTGCTCTCTGGGCTTGGTCCTTTTTCCTGCCCAGTGCCCATCCTCTTCTGGGCTTTCCCATGCCCAAGGCCACATGACCCAAGCATCTCCAAAAATAGCACAGTCTCACAAGAGCAGGCCTGTGTGGATACAGCCTGGGATTAGCCTGTGGCTTGTGAACTCAGGTCAGTCTTAACTATGACACCTGGCGTCCTCACACCAGATTGGGACAGGCATCTATGTTGAAACTTTATTACAAAATTATAAAGCAGAGCTCTGTAACAAAAAATACACATTTGGGTTTGGTCTAACACCCAAGTAAGTCTGAGAAAATCTTAATATAAGCCACTTGAAATAACACATTCACGTCCAAAAGATTTCAACAAATTTGTACAATATACATTGAGCACTAATTCCTGTACAGCTTATTCTTTCTCGTTTGGATCCAGCTATTCCAATGTAGTATGAGCCAGTCAGCTGTCCTGTCTTTTAAAACAAGTCACAACTGAAATCTCAGAACAATCAGTGAAAGCCATGGGATAATGGAAGAATTAGATGTTTCCATGGTAATTAAGACCAAGGATCCATGAGGGGCAGAAGAGAGTATCCAAGGATAAAAATCAAGTTTGCTACTTAAGTTAGATAGTAACTGAAATGGGATCTTAAGAATTCCCAGCCTTTATTTGGTGTAGTAATAAAGAAGATATACAAAGCGGGCGGGTGGGGGGGGGCACTTAGGGTTAGGTTGTTTTAACACCTTTTCTCCTAAATGGAAACCTTCACCAAAAGGGATTAGAAGACAAAGGCAAGTTCTTTCTCCAAGATGAGTAAATGACATCAGTTCTGATTGTTACTGAGGTTACAAACCAACCATCAAGATATTGTTAACTCATGTCTAAGAGGGAAACTGGGAGGTAGGGAGTGGTAAGGCCTCAGCAGAGAAAGGAAGTTTTAAGCAGGGAAACAGCCAGCTTCTGCCCTGAAGTTATTGCTAGGTTGTAGCTGAGCTGCTATGTGCAGACCTGTTTTACAGTGGAACTAAGGAGTAGCTGAATTCTTTGTTAAACTGGTAGGCACCGTAAACTATAGTATTTACTGTCCAGCAGAAAGATGGTGTCTTTACAGGGAAATCTCCATTCCCCCCAGTTCCTACAAAGGCTGTAGCCCAAAATCAAACTATCTAGGACTTGGTATAATGTCAAGGTCGGTGGTTTAGTGCTTGATGGAGAGAAAGCATTAATTATATCCTGTACCAACCAACAGGTGCCCTTACAGGTTTCCCACTGCTTTCCAAAGTCGTGATTGGTTCTTCTAGTCTGAGAGATCTCAGCTGCACGGGGTGGGAATAGGGGTGACTGCCAAAGCCCTCGGCTGTCTGAGGGTTTGCATAGCTCATCCAACGGTAATGGCGGCGCACGCAGCTCTTCTGATAGTGCACAGAATGTATGTTTGGGCTTGGCTAAGCTTCTCCAGCAAACTTGAGCTCTTGCAGTGGTGAAGAGACCCTGAGAGGGCTCAAGAACAACACTCACTCATTGCACGGCCCTTCCTAAAGAGCCAAGGGAATGCTTCTTGACCTGCCCCTAAATCAGCAGGGTGAGAAAGGAAATAGGATTCGGGAGTCCCTCCCAACCTGGAGAACAGACACGGGCAGCTGTCTGCTCAAGGGTTGATACCTCTGAGTGCTCAGTCTTACATGCTTGTCTGACTGGAGTAGAATAGGCCCTTTGCCTAAGTCTCTTCAGTGAGACCTTCAAGTGAGACCATGTTTAAAACCTCCATGGGCAAGAGGGACCTCGTACTCAGGGGAAAATGGTTTAAGGCGGTCTGCTGGAGAAGTCAAAGCCAAGCAGAGAGCCACTGCTTCCACCCAGCGCTTTCCCTTTTCCTCATCAACTAAAACAGGACGGCACACAGTCAGACCCCAGGAGGAGCAGCAGAGGTGACCCACGTACTGTCTTTCACAGACTGGAATCTCCCGCCAGTCTGAAAACCAGATGCTTTGCTGACTCCCAAGGTCAGCTCAGGAGAGGGAGAGCTTCCCAACCCAGCACTTCAGGAAGCAACTCTTAATGACTTAAGGTTTTCCAGTCGCATTTGCGTTTCATTTCTCACCAGAAGTAAGTTTACTGGTCCAAATTTCTGTCCCTAGGAGGATCACTGTTGGTCTGGTAAGCTACCATCTTTTTGGTCTAAAGAAACAAACGGATTTTAGGTAAGGTATCAAGAGACTTTAGCAAAGGTCGGTTAAAGCACAGAGAGCCAGAGAGACCAGAAATGAATCCAGGTGTGCCGGGGAGGAAGAGAGCCGTCCCCACCAGGACTCCTGGTGGGTGAAACAGAGGCACGCCGCTCGGGGGGGTGGGCGGGCTACAGGAGGAAGGGTGAGACTGTTTAGGTTCGCAGAGGAAGGAAGATATGGTCGAAATTCTGGAAAGTCCTCTCCATCAGTTACCATCGTCACCCCAAGATCACCGAAACAGGGACTGGCCTGTGCTATCTGTACCAGTTTCCACTGGCCTGGGGCTCGGCCAGCTGCACAGTGTACCTCTGAAGCAAGACAGGCATGCCCAGAGGTGACACAGCATCTTTGCTCGCCCTGGTCTTGGGAACACTGCAAATTTTCTGGTTAGCTTGCCCGTCTGCAAGCCGGCCCACAGTGGGCCCAGACACCTGGAGCTCTGTCCCCTAAGGCACTGCAGAAGCCCGCGTGAGCCCTCAGGACCGGAAGACGTGCACGGCTCGGATCACGTACTGCCGGCAGATGGGGCACTCGTTCATGCGCTTGCCGCACTTGGTACAGGTGACCATGTGGCCGCACTCCAGCAGAACACAGTCGATGGGCGAGTCCATGCAGATCCGACACAGGTTCTCCTCCAGGCTGGACGGCACTGCTCCCCCTGGACATGGCAGAGGGACAGTAAGGAAACTAAGTGTGTGGGCCGGGGGCACAGCCCCCCAGAGTCACACACCCCCCCTCAGGGACAAGGAACCGTCTCCCCAGGAACTCACTCCACCTGCTTGTTTAATCTGCACCTCCATAGGTTAGGCTATAGATATGAAGAGTCAAGTACTTATAGATCAAAGACATCCCAGAACATGAGAGTAAGGCAAAGGCCTCAAAGCTTAAAAAGAAGTAACGTTCAGACAACTGAGGCTGCAATAAAGCCAGGGAGTGCCATGGAGGGACTCGATATTCCCTGAGGCAGAACATGCTGAAAAGATATAAAGCTGGCTGAGAAGAGTTTAGGCATCAACAGAGTTGTAATGAACAGCTCATGAAGGATCATGAGACTCTGTAAACATACCCCTAACTGAATAAAGCAAGCCACGGCCTGCTTCCTCAGGCTTCCTTGGAGGAGACTCCATGGTGCCAGAGCCCAGCAGAGACTATAGCTCCCTCTTCTCTGCTTCCCACACACAACTTCACCCACACCCCGTGACTGCTCCTCAGCACCTTCAGAATTGTGAGTTTGCCTCCTTGTCTCCCCACTAGATACGGGCCCCTAAATCCAACAAATGGAATCAATTTCTACTGAGGTAATAATATACTTAGCATCTGCTGTGTGCTCTGAGGCCTGACAGTCATCTTGAATCCCCGAAACCAGTCCCGAGGTGAAAGTGAACATGTTAGTCTGACTCTTTGTGACCCCATGGACTACAGTCCGACAGGTTTCTCTGTCAATGGAATTCTCCAGGCAAGAATACTAGAGCAGGTTGTCACTTCCGCCTCCAGGGACCTTCCTGACCCAGGGATTGAATCCGCGTCTCCTGCACTGGCAGGCAGATTCTTCACTACTGAGCCCCAACAAAAACTATGAAGTAGGTACTCTCGTTACTCATTTGATAGGTGAGGCAAGTGAGACCAAAGGGTTAAATAGCTTGCCCAAAGATTCAAATCCAGGTAGGTAGGCTGGCTTCTAGGAAAGTGGCCTGAGGGCAGGGACTGCAAAGACAGTACTAACTGCTCAGCACACAGTTCTCAACAAGGCTAACCGGCTGGTGCGAGTGGGAAGACACTAGGCATGACCTATATCCTAGGTCAGCTGCAGGAACAGAAGAACCTTCGGGTCCCCAAACCCAAGCCTTCCCAGCACGTTTTAAATAGCAGCATGAATCAGGCGGCCATAAATAGGGAACTGCTCTTATACAGTCCCACCTCTACGGTCCCACAAGGGATTCTCATACTCCACTGCTTCTGCACTTTACCTGTTCCTTGGACTATTCAGAAAGTCAAATCACTTGAGGTGGGTGGGCTGTGAGGCAGTGAAACCTATTTACTCCTGTGAGGAGCTGATGGCCCTAACAGGGAACGTTTGGAAACTGAACAATATAAACACCTATATATATAAATAGGAATACCTATAGATATAATAGATAGTATGGGCTATATAAATAGCTCATCCATAAATATATAGATGAGCTGGAGTAATTTACAGAATTTCATTACAGATTACTTCTGTCAAGATTAACAAATTCATTAACTCAGTTGCCAGCATTCTCCCAGGGAGTCAGAAAGACCCCAAGTGGATGGCCAAACTTTGGTATCAGGTGAGGGTCTAGAACTCCAAATGCTCAACTCTCGGGAATGTATCAGCCAGAGCAATATGGTGAGAGCTCTTCCCTAAGAAAGGATTTTCTCAGAGTAGTGTAGGGGCCTGAAAAGCACTTTAAAACTTTTTCAGAAGACACTCCAAATTTTCCCTTAGTAAAACGGCTGTATAGCCTTGAGGCTTTCACAAAAAGGTCTATCATGTTTCAGAGTGATTGTATCTGCAGTCAGATTCCTGCAGTGCATTCTGGGGGTGCCAAGAGACCTGTGGGTGGTCTTTAACACACAGGTTGGTACATGGCAGCTGAGTGCCACGAAGTATGCTATACACACAAGGCTCTCAGCTCGCCACCCCTGCTTTTCACTTGGTACCAGAAGTTGACGAACATCCCAAGTGATTTCCCTGAAGGTACACACAGAGACCCTCCCACACAGACCAAGACGGAGTGAACGCCCGACTCGGAACAGGAACAGCTACGTACCGTTTTGGTCTTCAGCACTGCACACTGCAAAGGGAAGGAAAGAAGGCGTCTGAATACATGATGACAAGGAAAGCCTCCAGCCACCCTGGCTTCACTTCCGAACTCTGACCGCTCTCCTGCTGGGAACCAGGCCATCCCCCCTCAGACCCTCCACACATGGGAGACTCACCCACCGCCCCTGCCGGGGTGTCTGGTCTAGTCTTAGAAAAAGGGCTTCCACTGCTTTACTATGAACAAAACTGCCAGGCAGGAAGGAGACTGCACAAGCACAGTGTCTTTTTCTATCGCGTCGGAAGCCAGCGTTAAAGTCAAGAAAGGAGGAACAGTCTGTCCTGGTTGGCCAGGGAGTCTGGGTGTGACCCCCCAGAGGCGCCATCTCCTAGTCCCAGGCCCTCGTCCCTCCTTTGGGGAGGTTCTGGGGACCATCCCAAAGGGAAGAGCCTGTGATCAGGTGACCAGGCAGATGTCCCCTAACTCTGATGAATCTGAGCTCCTGGGAGAGGAGAACCCGAATCTGACTCCAACTACTGTGAGCAGGCAAGTCAGCGCAACATTGACCTGCAGGAGCCCAATCAGCTGGGGAACGAATGGGTGAAGTCATTTCATGAAATGCGGAGTTCCAAACAGCTAGACCCATTTCTCTCCTGCAGGGCTTCTCTGCCTTGATTGGTACAGTCTTCATCTTACCACAAATCGGCAGCATGGACATACAGCAAGTTTTTTCTTCCCCAAACTCATTTGACCACAGACCTTGTTTTACTGTGCATCACTGTAAATGATACCATGGAAAATGCTTTGGAAAATGAACAGCGCCAGGCAGACAGGTCACACACAGCGTGCCAGCACCTGTGTACAGAGCTTGAGTATGGCCAGAGGTAGTGTTGAGTCTGATGGGGCGACATAAGGCGGGAAAGGCCATGGACTTAGACCCAGAAATCCTCAGGGCCAATCTAGGCTCTCCAGTAAAGGGAAGATGCTAACAATGCCTATTTCACAGGCTGCCCTGAGGATTAAATACATATACATGATGCCTGACCCCCACCCGGGGAACTCAGCTCCAAAGGACTGTTATTATTAGAGGATGCAAATGCGTAAGGTGGCTGGCTCCTTCCTCAGCTAAAAGCACGGAAATCGAGTCAGGTCAATGTAGACTCTAAAGCAAGACAGCAGGCGCTCTGGAGCTCTGCACCGCTGCCGCCCACATGGCCCCTCACCCAGGTGCTGGAGTCCCTTCTGGTCCTTGTACAGCCGTGTCACCCTCTCCATCAGTTCCCACTTCTCACAGCAGCCCTTGTAGTTGACGAAGTTGCGAGCCAGGATCTCCTTGAGCTGTCGCACAGTGAGACCTTCGATGTCCTCCAGGTCGGTCAGGTCAGACAGCGAGGCCCTCCGGCCTGGGACAAAGCTGTCCTCTGAGTCGACGGACTGCGAAGGCAAAGATGGGATGGGTGGGCTCCCTGCCCCCGCCCTCACTCCCAGGACCCCAGAGCTCTCATCACCCTGTGCTTTTGGTGACTGGCCTCAAGGCAAGCAGGAACAGGGGCACGTGGAGGATTATGTGGCCCCAGGCTCTGCATCGCCAGACAGACCTCCGTCTCTTCCTGCCCCGAGGGCTGTGCTCAGGCCCAGCTGGCCACAGACCCACCCCCAGGCCAGGCAGGAGGAGCAGCAGCAGGCCGAGGCAGGTGGTTTTGGATCCCTATTCCTCCTCTGACTGATGCTGAGCAGTACCGAGCATGATGCTCACCCCTCTGAACCCGTCTGCCCCCTGTAAAGAGGTGGCAGCAGTCCCGCCACCCGGGCTCCCTGTGGAGATTGAACAAGGCATCACAAGAGACTGCTGCGCACGGCTTGCGTCTTTCTCCCCTGGAGATTCTGCTTTCCCACGGAAGAAGCCCGCTTCCCGGGCAAGCATCCCCTCTGCACACCGGAGACCACAGCTCTGCGGCCCCACGGCAGTGCCCTGAACGCCCTCTCATCTTTCCTCCCAATTATCTGACCTCCTTCCCCTGAGAACGACCACCGTGTGCTAGAAGCAGAGGAAAAGAACAAGACTGGCACAGTGGCACCAGAAGCCTGCCCTCCGGCTGCTCTCAGCAAGTCAAGAGACTGGAAACCAACGGGCTGTGCTGCTCCCCAGTCTCTGGTGTGACACGGACCGCTCCTAAGGTTCACCTGGAACGCTCACTGAATGCCACCCCTGAAGACAGGACTTCAGAAGGACTGTCATCACAGCCTGCTTCTCCCCTCTCCCCCGTGAGGCCGCCCAGAGGGTCCTGACGAGAACAGCAGCTAGAGCCAAGGCGGAGGCACAGGCACTGCAGGGCCCACCTGGGTCTCGGCCTCAGCAGGGGCTCCGGCCGTGCGCTCCAGGTAGACGGGCTCCTCTTGGTCCTGAGACACATGGCCATTGGCCTGTGGGGAAAGAAAGATGCCGTCACATCCGCAGAGCTGTCCCAGGGATGGCATGGGGCTCTTGCCAGCTCACGCCATATCCAAACACACTCCCATTTCCCCGGGAACCTGGAGTCTCACTTAACAGCATTTTAGAAGCCTGACTCTGTCAGGCAGGGAAGCAATACGCATAGATTTCAACTCTAGAACAGGATGGCATTAATTCTGCCTACTGCCAGGATGGCATTATCTGCCACTCACCATCAGTGTTGGCTCAGCTTGCACTCAGCTTGCGCACTCCGAGTGGAAGGAAGATCACACGGCCCTCCTTTGCCGGGCCGCTATCAAGTCCGTTCCTGACATTGACGCCAAAATGCCAACTCTACAACTTCTGCCCGCCATCCCTGGTTTTGCCCCCAGACCAGTGTCAACTCTCTTCTCCCCAACTGTTCAAACTATGTCTTTGCTTCTGCCACATGAAATCTCCCCGGCTTCTTCATCTGGCCCAGATGAGATAAAAGTTTCCAGACCCTCAACCCCCGCCCCACCCCCCGCTTCTGGCTAGTCACTGCTCTCATTAGAAATTCTAGAAATATGCTAAAAGCAGCAGGGCAGACTGTTACTAAGAGCTATCTTGAAACCCGGTCAAAACTTATTTTAAGGCATCAAAGAGTCTATTAACCTGAGACTATATAAGACTAATGCCTATGCTTAAGTTTCATTCGGCTCAGAAGTCTAAACTCTCAAAAGGTTTCCCCTGGGTATTCCTTCAGGTTTTGCCACAGAGTAGTCAGAACTGGGAGCCACCTAATCCCGTCACCATTTAAGCCACAAATCCCTCACCTAGATCCTCTCCACCCACAGCCCCCAAACAGGCGAAGGGTCTGGTGTGAGCCTAGAGCAAAGAGGTGTCTGAGCTCACAGGCCTTTTCCACTGGACTCTTCAGAGAACCAGCAAAGGGACAACCTGGGAAACAGTCACTCACTGCCCCCGCTGCTCACCTCAGGTCAGAATGCATAATATGGAGCTAATTAAGAAAAGGCACGCAACCACAACAGAAATGAAGAGCAGAAATAACAACTGTCATCAAAAATGCCAAGTGACAATAAGCTCCTGTACACACCACATGTGGACAGAGAGGCTTCCCAAACAACGCCCAGTTTTCTCTTAGCTTTACGTCAGCGTAGCACCCACTGGCCTCCTGGTGTCACCTTAGCGTTCCAAGAAGCTATTCGGAGCCTAACCTCTTCCTGAGTAGCCAGTTTCTGTATGTCTTCTCTTTTCCACAAGAGAAACCGGTCTCGTGCTGCAGAGTACGCGCCTGCCTTTCCAGTGTGCCCACGGGCTGAGCCCAAGTCTCCAGGGAGTGTCTGCCCGCAGCTAGCTCTGGTCCATGCGCTTCCTTCACTAGCAGCTACTGCCGGGGCGCCACAGGCGCAGGAAAGGGCCCCGGTCGCGAGCGCTGCCAGCAGACGCACAGCCTGTGTGCCGCTCGCTGCAGGCCGTCAGGCCACCCTGCACGAGCTACTGCGCTTGCCCTGTTTTTCTGGCTGGCAAAATGCAGGCCTCACCAGAACAGGGGACGTGAGCTGACCTGAAGGCCTTCTGGAAACATCAGAGGAGAAGCACCCAATGAAGCTCTGGCACATGGTGTGACCTATGCGTGCAGTCTGCAAACTTCTGATTAATGAAAGGAACCCACCTGAAGGTTCTTTCAGGGAAAAAAAATTCCCTCGAGGCACTCTACTGGCTCCCCATAAACAGAGAGAAAACCCTGGACCCAAGCAAAGGGAGGCAGTCAGGACAGGCGGCCCTGCCTGTCCAGCAGGCAGAGCAGAGCCGAGGGGCAGTGGCGTCCCAGGGCGCGCAGGGGGAAAGCCCGCTCAGGCTGTGTGCGCTTCCTGCAGGGGAGCGTGCGGTCACAGCGGCCTTCATGGCCCAGTGCTCGTCAGGGCTGAGTCAGGGGCCCCGTCCCAGCAGAGGTGGGGGTCAGAAATGAAAGACGGCAGCCCCGCACGTCCTGTGTGGCAGACGCCAACACTGGCGCATGCCTGCTCTGGGCAGCTCAAAGCCCTTCAGACATGGGATCACGCCGCCAGTCAGTCCTCCCCATATCCTGGCAGGAGCCAAAGTGGTCTGGATTACTAAACTCATTGCCTTGTTAAAGGCTCAGACCTCCTCGAAGTGACCCAAGAGTCAGTGACCAACAGGATGTGGAAACTGGATCTCCTAGGTCCGAATCCTCCCACTGTTGCCCAAGTCAGATGACTAAAAGGCTCACTGAGACACTGAAGGATAGCTACAGGACGTCACCACGCCCCGATGACAGTGATTCTGGCACTTCGGAGGTGGTTAATACATGCTCACTGAATAAACAAATGCATGGGAAAATAGCTCCTAGAGACCCAGAACCTGGAAGCCAGAGGCTGCCTCTTCACCCAACCCTCCCCTCTCCCCACCATGAGCACCTAGTCTGCAGAGCTGGCCCTGTGCTCACGTCCTGGGAGCCCACTTCCTGTTGGTCCTAGCCTTACAGGGTCCCCCAGGGCTACACACACAGCTTCCAGCTACTTCCCATCCTCTGTCCAGTGCCTCTGCCACTGGAAGCGGGGGACCACTTCCCCCATGCCCACCCCAGACCTCTGGCTGAAGCCTCCTGCCTTCCCGGCGCTGGGTCCTCCCCCGCTCCCCACCCCACCGAGTGTGTGGGTGTTTGCTTCCTATTCTATAACTTGACACCAGTCTTGCTGTCTGACACCCTATCCTTTCCTCTTTCACCCACCTCAAACCTCTCCTCAGTGATAACCACCATTCAGAGCATTGATTTGTTTAGTCACTAACTCATGTCTGACTCTTTGCAACCCTATGGACTGTAGCCCACCAGGCTCCTCTATCCATGGAATGCTCCAGGAAAGAATGCTGGGGTGGGGTGCCACTGCTTTCTCCAGGGGATCTTCCTGATGCAGGGGTAGAACCCAAGCCCCCTGTGTCGGTGGTGGATTATTTACCGCTGAGCCACCTGTGAAGCCAGAGGTCCACCGGCATCACTCTAATCCCACAGTTGGCTTCCACACCCACCTTCCCCCTCAGAGGGGCTTCTCAGCTAGAAGCAACATAGTCCTCGCTTCTGAGCTTTCCCAGCCTGGTTCATAATTCAGCCCAGGTGCTGCTCTGAGCCCGCCACCCGCAGACCCCGCTGGGACGCCGACAAGGCCGCCTACGGCTCAGCAGCCCTCCAGCCACAGCCCAGCCCGGACAGCGCTGGCAGGGGCCGTGCCCGGGTCTCAGTCACAGTGTTTCCCTCCTCTGCCTTGCCTTCACATACTCTTTTTTTGGCCTCACCGCACGGCACGCAGAATCTCCCCAACCAGGCATCAAACCTGTGCCCCCCGCATTGGAAGCTCACAGTCATAACCCCTGGACCACCAGGGAAGTCCTACGTGGTCCTTTTCTCCCTTGCGCCTTGTGATGATCACTGAGGAGCCAAATTCCCCGTTGGCCAAGGAAGACCATGGGGTGAGAAAACAGGAGGGTAATCTGATCAGAACCAAATGTGGAGACCTAACAGTGAATTTTCTCAAAATGTTTCTAGAACAACCAATTTTTTTAAACTCTCTAAATGGAATAGGAACCTATTACAAAGAAAGAGAAAAACACAAAAACCCAGTACCGTGCATCTGTCTAAGAAAAGCCCAAACGTGAGTCTGCAGTCCAGAAAACACCCTCCGTCGGCGGTAGGCAGAAAGGCGTCCCGTGACCCGTGCACTGAACCCCTCTCCCGCGGTGCTGGGGGAGAGGGACCGGAGCCCGCCCTGGAGAGACGGGAGGCCGCGCGTGGCTGTACCTGCTGCCGGCCCTGCGCCTGGCCGGGGGGTGCAGACGGGAGGCCGGGTGAGGTAGGCGGCACGGTGCTGGTGTGAGGCCGGGTGAGGAAGGCCTGCTGCTCGGGGAAGTCGGGACCCAAGGGGGGCGCCTGAGTCCTGCCCTCCTGGGAGATGACGGGCTGCTGGCCGAGCACCAGGAACACCAGCTCCTCCTTCTCCCGGCACATGTCGGTAGAGATGTCGTGGAGGCTGAGATAGTCCCTCAGGTCCTTCACCTTCATCTTCATGAGCTCCTCCCGCCGGAAGCCCGTGGCGCAGACGCGCTGGCAGAGAAGGCAGAGCCGGGGCCCGGCCCCCACTTGGCTGGAACAGCTGGTGCAGAAGTTCTTCTTACAGTCCAAGCAGGTCTGCTGCTTAAGAGCGAGAGGCAGAAAAAACCACGTCAGACCGTGAGGACAAGACAGCGTGACAAGGGCTGGGACGACCGCCCGTGACTCGTCCTTTCACTGAGCTCCTCCTCTACCTGGGGGTCGGGCCGCCGGGCAGAGTCTGGGGTCCAACCCCCGCGGAGGCAGCAGGGCCCCCACAGGTCTCCTGCAGCCACAGGCAGGGCCCCGCGGGCAGGATTCCACTGGAGGCTCACGTCACTCATGCTACTCACCGGGAGAGAAACAGGCTGTTAATTAAGAGTGACAGCTTCAGGATAAGAAAAGCCCTGCCTTTTATGAAGTCTCCCTCCTCTGCTTCTTGTGGAGTCACCTTGGGGCTGTAACTCAGCCTCTCTGGCCCTCAGTTTCCTCATCTGTAAAGTAGGGGGTGATGAAAACAACTACTTCATGGGACTGTGGTAAAGTTAAGAGATAATGCGCTTAGCATATCAGACACGTGAGTCTTCCATAAGTGTTTAGTGTTTTAATTATTTCTAGGAAATACAAGCCAATGATGAGAGTCAAGATTCAAATCAGTATCACGGAGTAACTCTCCTCCAATAATTATATTTTGTCCTATACTTCTCAATACTGTACAATCTTTGGTAATTACTACTCTCTCTCTCTCTCTATATATATATATGTGTATGTATAATTAAACGACTGAGGGGCTACTATGTGCCAGAGCTGGACTTGGCTTATCATTTAGTTCTGAAAGCAGGTATTTTCCTACCTCCCTGCTTCCAGGACAGAGCATCCGAGGCCTGGAGAGACGAAGGCGCATCCTGAAGGGCAGGCAGGGGACAGTGTGTCTGGGTTTGGTGCCCACACTAGTGCTCTTTCCACCAGGCCGCAGGACTGACTCAGCCCCATGCCAGACCCCGCCGTGCCTGGCCAAGGGTCTGGCTCTCCCTCTCGGAACTCCCGGCCCTGCCCCCGCCCTGCCCCGGGAAGGCCCACTCCGAGTGCTGGGAGTGCAGGGCTGTATGAGAGCAAACCCAAGACAAATATTTAGTCAGCAACAGGAGGCCCTCAGACACAAGGGGGGAGCTCTCATCTGTGGAAGTACAGGGTGTCTCGGGTGGCTGACGAGAGCCGCCGGGCAGGCGAGCTGGCACCGCCTGGCAGCAGCTACTCCCGGCATCACAGACAATACAGGGCACCAGGGCGTGCTCGGCCCCCAGGAGGCAGCTTCCGGCCCCTCGCCCCGGAGGCTGAGCGAGCACAGGGACAGCCGATGAGCCCTGTTCCAGCCACGAGCAGGCCACACGCCACCACGGGGGTGAGCCCTGGGCCCCTGCGCTGCTCCTGCAGGGACCCTTTAGAGAAATTAACAACTTTTCATCCTGGGGTGACTTCAGAATTAACCTAAATCTTTCTGCCCTCTCTTTTCTAAGTATAGAAAGCTGTTCAAGCAAACAAGAATGCCCAGGAGACTCAGATTCCCACAGTCAAAATCACAGGCACTCTGGTGTGGCGCTGAAGAAGTCTGTAGAGCAGAGGGGGTTATATTTAGTCTTTTCTAAGTGTCATTTGAGCAGTAAAGGGAAGCGAACGTAAGGCTGTGACTGCTGACACTTGGAAGGACACATGTCAAGCTCCCTCACTCTCCACCCAGTGATAACCACACAATACAACATTCACATGGCTGCACGCACTTTAGAACAGTTCTGGAACCAGTCGCGCTTGGGTGGAAAGGAGATGTTTTGGGGTACTTTGGGGGTTCAGTCACAGCTAAAGCTTTTCTAGTGGGCGATAAGATGTGTTTAGGATGACACAGTGAAATTACAAGGCTTCCATGTCATAAAGCTGTAGGTCCTGACATGGAACACTGCTTACATCGGTACAGTTTGACAAGACCTAGTCTGACACAACTGAACAGCCCTGAGTTGCTCCATCAGCTGGATCTAAACAACTGTCTTCTACGGTATGCAGCGCGCTGGATACCAGATCAGAAAGCAAAGACAGCAACCCACCCAGCTCCTCGGCACCGCCCAGGGGCTCTGAAGCCTGAAACACACCCGACAGGAAACAGTAAGTCAGTGCTCGCTTGAGGCTAAAACCCCAGTTTGAAGAGTCAGGAGAGAAGAAAGCAGAAGGAAAAAGCAACCGTCAACAAATGCTGGCAGAACAAGTAAAGGAAACACGTTAAGTATAAATTCCAGCAAACTGTACACGCTGAGTAGCGAGGTAGCAAGAAAGATGACCGAGGGGAGCCCGGGTGCCCACAGAGACACCCGGAGCATGGGGCGCCAGCAGGGGGAGCATGTGGCTCCCCTCTGCCAATCCACCCTTCCTCTGCTACCCCCCACCCCAGCCAAGTTCCCTGGCACAGGCCAGGCCCATGTTCTCAGCCCTCCTCCTTGCCGTCCTGCCCAGAGGCAGCCCCTCCTGGGAGGGAAAGGGCAGCAGGGACACGCTAGGATTAAGTCCTGGCTGGCTGCATCCCCGCTGGGGGAACTCTGCAAAACAGACAACTTCCCAGAGCATCAGATGCTCACCTGCAAAGTCGGGTGCTCAAGACTTCCCTGGTGGCTCAGTGGTAAGGAATCTGCCTGCCAATGCAGGAGACACAGGTTGGATCCCTGGTCCAAAGAGATCCCACATGCCGCGGAGCCACTAAGCCTGTGTGCCTACAAGTACCGAGCCTGCGCTGTAGAGCCAGGGAACTGCAGCCAGCCCTCACGCCAGAGCCCGTGGTCCACAAGAGGAGCCGCTGCCATGAGAAGCCCACGCACCACAACTAGGGAGAAGCCCTCGCAGCAGCGAAGACCCAGCACAGCCCTAAACAAGAAAAACACAAGCAAAACAAAAGTCGGATGCTCAGGCTGCCTCGAAGGACTACTCAGCTACTACATGAGCTAATGCACAGCGAACCTCAGCAGGAGGTAGGCACCCCACACAGTAAAAGGTAACACAGTCACCTCTAGTTCCCTTCCCCTTGGGCCAGGGCCAAGGAGCCACCCCCTCTTTCTACCCTGAGACTTGATCATCTCCTCCATGTCTAAAAACACAACCTCCCTGCCAGGCCACCCTATCCTCCCCTTCCTCCACCTGGTCAACTAAAGAGGCCAAAGCCCCTCCAAAACCATCAAGGCTGCTGCTAAACCACATGCAGTTATCACCAATACAGATAGGATATGTCACTTCCAGCTAGTCCTGTCCTGCAATTTCCAAGACTGGAAGCTCTGGGAAGCCATGGCTCCATATTTTTTTACATCCTCTCTTATAAAGTCCTTAGTGCTCACTGAGCTTTGTACCAGGGAGCATTCAGCAAATACTGACCACAATGAAGAAAGGAAAAAGAGACAGGAGGATCCATGTCGTCATTTCAATTCAACCACTTCAAGAAAAGACATTCTGAAAGCTTGCAGCTGTTAAATGCCAAACCCTTGAGATAAGATGCCGATCCACTCAAGCACGAAAGTACAAGTGCAAAACTCTCGTAGGAGAAAACATCCTTAATATTCACAGAATTCACTGTGAATTACACAAAATTAATCCATCCCTTTGTGGCAAGAAAATATTGTACCAATAACCATCTTTTACCTTCCAACTGGAACTTCCTTTCTGCCTACAGAAGCTCTTCTTGGGACTTGCCTGGTGGTCCAGGGGTTGAGAATCTGCCTGCCAGAGACACGGGTTTGATCCCTGCTCCAGGAAGATTCCACGTGCATTGGAGCATCTACTGAGGCCACGTGTTGCCAACAACTGAGCCTGTGCTCTAGAGTCTGTATTCTGCAACAAGAGGAGCCCGAGCAACGCAACTAGAGTTGTAGACCCCCCTCACTGCAACTAAAGAAAGCCCAATCGCAGCAACAAAGAACCAGTGCAACTAAAAATAAACAATTAATTTTTTTTTTTTAAGTTCTTCTTCTTGGTACAGAAGCTTTCTTCCCGTCTCCTCACACAGCTGCGCCTTTGCCCTCATCCTCCTGTCAGACTTTGAGCTCCCTACTGTGGAGGGATGACTCTTCATCTTTACCTTTCCAGACCAGGCAATGCCTAACACACCTAATACACTGGATATTTTTCACTAAATAAGAAAAAAAATTACTTTATTTTTTAATTTTGGCCACGCCAGGCAGCTTGCAAGATCTTAGTTCAACGAGCAGGGATCGAACCCACACCCCCTGCAGTGGAAGCTCAAAGTCTTAACCGCTGAGCCACCAGAGAAGTCCCCAGAAGCTCCTTATTTTACTCAATGCCATGCCTCATTTTAGACAGACTGATACCCTGGCTTCTTCGGTTTGACCTCCTCCTCCATTTCATCCGTCTTCATAGCCACAGTCCCCTGTATCTTAGTAGCTGAAGTGCCTTTTGTGTCTGAGTCTCTTCCTTTTCATCTGTAAAATGGGTTGACAACCACTCCTTCACAAGGTCTGGCACAAAGAGCCGCTCACCAGATAGAAGCTACCTGGATCGGTCTCGGCCTCCCCCAGACCAGGCTCTGGGAACTTCCCACTGGTGTGCAGGAGCTGCCTCAGTGCCTCTCCTACGGCTCCGGCAAACCACCCTCCTCGTGAAGCCATGTCCGCTCCCTGAAATACGATCAGCCAGCTGTGGCTTTGTTCAGAATCCTTCGGCGCTTCCTTGTGGTCTGGTGGCTACAGGCTCCTCACTGTGGAAGCCCTGGGCCTTTACTACTAAGGTCAACTTTGCTGCCCTCACCTCCCCAGTACCCTGCATCCTGGTCGAACAGGCCACGCACTCTTCCCAGGCCCAACCTGCATCTGCTCCACCTCTGGTGCTGTTACCTCAGCCACTGCTTTGCAAATCAACAAGCCTTCCTCTGTGGCTAGAATGATCCCTTTACCAACAGTGCCTGATGGCCTCATACTTAACTTATGCAGCTGACTCGTTAGTTCTTTGTAAATGGAGGCCTCCTTAACCAGACAGTAAGCTCCCCAGGGGAATGCCCTATGTCTTGGACCTCTCTCCACAAAAGCGTGACCTCTAGCTGCTACCACGCTGCTGGGACA